ACAGTATACAAGCCTGGCCACAGTACTGAATTGGCCTTGACTGATGGATAGCCTCTGTGGGAAAGTGGGACAAGGGGAGTTCAACCTTGCTACTGCTTCTTGATCTCTCTGAAAATTTTGATACCGTTGCCCATGATATCCTTCTGGACCAGCTCCATGAAATGGGAATCAGGGACACTCTATTACAATGGTTCCAGTTTAATCTGTGCAACAAATCCAGAAAAATAGCACTGGGTGAATGCTCCTCAGCCTCCTAGCACTATTTATCCCCAAGGCTGTTTAATATCTATATGAAGCCACTAAGGTGAGTCATTAAGAGTTTTGGGGCAAGGTGCCACTTTAAGGTGGTACGATGATGCTTCAAAGGTATAGTGCAAGATGGGGTCTTTAAAAAACTGGGGGATTGTTTCCACTGGAGAGACTCCAAAGGTCCATCTCCAAAGGGAAAGTTTGCAATCTAACATAGTTTCTAACACAGCACATAATGGTTGTTAGGGATAAAAGTAAACATGTTCACTTTGATAAGGTATGGTCCCCATATATCAACTAGGGAAACAGAAGCAATGTTAATATGAGACCTCCAGACACTCATGCGTACTTGTGGCGAGGCTATGTCACGAATGGTTGAAGCCTTGAATAGGTATTCAGTTAATTGGTTATTTGACAGTGGAGCTGCTCAATGTTTCTTTTTATATGCATTTGATATAAGCACAAAACATTCTACAGGTTTTGTTGGAATTGATTTGTCATTTTACTATGAATTAATAAAATTTTATATTTATAGAAAATTGGGAAGTGTCATCTCTGCCCCACATTCACAGCATGCATTTAAAGAACTATGATACTAAGGCCATGATTTCCTTCAAAGAATTATGGGAGCTGAAGTCTGTTAAGGGTATTGAGAGTTGTTTAGTAGACCCTTCTTTCCCTCAGAGCTACAGTTCTCAGCATGGTTTAACAATCAATCCCTTTTCCTAGGGAACTCTGGGAATTGTTGAGCAAAGTAATAACTGCCCACAAAGTCAACATCTTGATGTCACAGCATAAAAATGTTTGTATGAATCAGCTCTATATAGTAAGATGTGGACTGAGGCATTTCCTTGAGGGAGAGAGGATGGGGGAGAGAGAAAGAAGAGGAGAGAGATATACACACATTCAAAAAGCCTGAATGATTTCTCCTCTTCTACATGTTGGTAATTAAAATTAATGGGCTGTATTGAAAACATGTGCATTGTTTAAACAGTTACAGGAAAAATTAATACTGCATTTCTGACGGTAACTGTAATTTATCGTTAGGTGGTGTTATTGGCAAAAGAAGCGGCTTCTTTTGTTAATATGTTCAGGAAGATTTATTCCATGCAAGTGTGAACTAATGAACACAATCTATATTCAGATATTGCTTTTACTCACTTAACTGTTCTGCTGTGAATTTTCAGAACAGTTGGCAGAGGTAGGAAGGATGAAAAGAAAGAAAAAACAAATTAGCTATACCCAATGCATTTAAGCCACAAAAAGTTGGGGTGGGGAAGAAGAGGACAAGAATGGATAGAGTTACCAGGAAAATTCCTGCTTCTATGAAGATGTCCTATAAGAGCGTGACTCAATACTGAACTATTGGATGGGCGCAATGGACTGGTTTGTAAGTCACAGGGACACCAAGGTTTGGACGTAACGATGGAAGCTTCCTTGTGCTCAGCCCATCCAACCCAGTGCTGTTTATGCTGATCAGCAGCGACATTCCAGGATTTCAGGCAGGACAGTCTCCCAGCCCTACATGGAGATGCTGGAAATCGAACTTGGAACCTTCTGCATGCAAATCAGATGCTTTACTACTGAGCTACAGTCCTTCCCAGCAAAGTATAGTTGTTCCAAACCAAGGAGGGAATCTGACTGCACAAGGAGAGAAAGAGGGGAATTACTTTCAACAGTCATGGGGGAAGAAGAAAAGAAGAGTTTGGATTTGATATCCCACTTTATCACTACCCAAACGAGTCTCAAAGCGGCTAACATTCTCCTTTCCCTTCCTCTCCCACAACAAACACTCTGTGAAGTGAGTGGGGCTGAGAGACTTCAGAGAAGTGTGACTAGCCCAAGGTCACCCAGCAGCTGCATGTGGAGGAGTGGAGACGCAAACCCGGTTCCCCAGATTACAAGTCCACCGTTCTTAACCACTACACCACACTGGGAGAGCCATAACTGATCAGCAGAGCCAACCCTAACATTGGACAGAATAAGGTGACTGCCTGGGGTGGCAAATGCTTGGGGAAGAAGGAAGCAGTGGCTGGATCAGGCCAGTGGCCCATCTGACCCAGCGTCCTATACTCAAAGTGGCCAAACGGGTGCCGATGGGAAGAAACTGAAAGCAGAAACTGAGTGCAACGGTACTCTTTCTATTTGTGCCTCCTAGCAATGGAAGTGGAACTTAAACATCATAGCTGGTAGCCTTATCTTCCATGAGTTTGTCTAATTCTCTTGCCTTAGCCATTGATACTGTTGAGAAATGTGTGTGCATTACCAAGGACTGGCTAGCTTGCTTGAAAGCTATAGGACCTTGCAAGAGGTCACATACACACATGCACACTGAGATCATATGATATGCCAGCAGGTGCATTCTAAGCCAATATGATTCATTTTAAGAACATAGGAGTTTGTCTACCAAATACCTATGATGCTTTAGTTGATATTCCTGCACTGCAGGAGGTTGGACTAGATGACCCTTGGTATCCTTTCCAGCTCTACAGTTCTATGATTCTATGACCAGCTTCTTATCTGCCAACCACATAGCTGCTGTACCTTGGTCACCGTACACAGAGGAGTTGGATCGTGGCCACTGATTGGATTTTGAGAGTATTAAAAATTTGTTTCCTAGTTGCTCTTAAAGATTTGTAAGAACCCTGCGGTTTTTTTCTCCCCTTTAAATTTACCTAAGTGATTTTAGATTAATATCCCATTCCTCCCCCCCCCCCCCACGACGTGCTGTATAATTTATTTACACTGCTGTACTCTACAGTATGTTTTATGTAGCAAATTTACAGGTCAGCAACTCGTGACTTGTGGCACTGTAAATTAAGCTAATAATTGGATTAGAATAGATGGCGGCGTGATTCTATTTGATGAGGTTTCATCAATCCATAATGAAGATGAGCTCAGCCTGCAATAAAAGGGAATTAGCAAACCTGTGCAAAAACTTACTTTGCCTTCATTATTGGATTACAAAATTCCGATGGCAAGAATTCTTTATGGTATAACGCCAGCCATAAAACTGGGGGACAGTGCTTAGTATGGAAGGAAGAGGGAACAGAGAAAGGTGTGGGAACCCACAGGTGATTGAATTCCTAACTGACATTTCATTGCTTTCTTAGATCTGCAAGATAAATTCAATATCCATAAGAATAAATTTCAAATATGGGAAGATTAGAATTGTATCCTCACAAAAGTTAATAATTTATCTGTCACTCTAGAGACATTCAACTCAGCACATTACTGGAGACTGAACACACACACACACACACACACACACACACACACACACACACAATGTTTCACATGCTTTTGGTACTCTCAGCAAGACCCAAATACATACTGTTGTTACATTACCTATATAAAGAAAGTCTGATCTTCACATCAGTGTCAATATCTTTAGTAACAGGAAGAGTTCTTTAACCTGCCTACCTTTGTGGGGGGGGGGAAGAATCCCCCTCAAAAACAGAACTTTACAAATCAGATACTAGGGTCAAATGGATCACAGTCAAGTCATAGTTTACTTGTTTTTTTGTTCTAAAAAAATGAAACGTGTTTGAGAACGACTTCGATTTATCATAAGAATATGCAACTATGGGAGAGATTGCTGTTTACTGTACAAGGTTTAAGTGGAATAGTACCTCGTATCCATAATGACTCCAGCATTGGGAACATGAGAAGCTGCCTTATGCTCAGTCAGACTACTAGTTCATCTAGCTCAGTACTGTACATATTTAACTGGCTTTCCAGGATTTCAGGCTCCTGGAGATTCTTGAGATTGAATCTGGGACCTTTGGCAGGCAAAGCACTTCATAATGAACATTTCCTACATCTTAATTAAGAGAATTGTAGATTTGTTACATTATCATAGCTGTACAGTCATACCTTGGATCCTAAATGCCTTGGTATTTGGACGTTTTGGCTCCCGAATGCCGCAAACCCGGAAGTGAGTGTTCCGACAGGGCTTCTGCAGCTTCTGATTGACTGCAGGAGCTTCCTGTAGCCAATCAGAAGCCACACTTTGGTTTCCATACATTTTGACAGTCAAAACGGACTTCCAGAATGGATTCCGTTTGACTTCCAAAGTACGATTGTACAGTAAACCTGCAACCTACGCCAGGGTTACGTTTTGGGGATTGTGCCTAAAGCCAAAATTTGTGTATAATCAAAACGCACTGGATGCAATGGTGGATGGGACTGCAAAAGCCTTTCCCCCCAGATGCCCACCCCCTTCTGCTCCCTTTTAAATTTGTTTACTTCCCCCCCTTTTGCCCAGCACACAAGTTAAATGTAAATTGCAGGCTTACTGTATTACTTACTTAATTAATTAATTTCTATACTACCCTTCATCCAAGGACCACAGGGTGGCTTTCAATATTAAAACACAAACATGCATACATACCATAGTAACAAACAAAAACCAACACTGCCCCGTCTTGCTGGAGACCACTGCCAAGAGATCAAGGAAATGCCTGTGTTAAATAGGTTTGTCTTCAAAAGCCAGCAGAGTGCCAGTACAGATATATAGATTTCATACATAGATTTCATACATTTCAGGAAGGAGTGTGTTCCCTAACATCAGTGACACCAGTAAACAAATAAACACCCACCTACACGTCAACGCAAACCGATAACCATTAGACCATGTCAAGACTAACTGGGTCTAATTTGTTGATCTTAATATTCTCAGTGTGGTTGCACATTATCAGGAAATAGTTCTGCTTATAATATGTATTACAGACTATAAATTCATTGAGGTGGGACCTCTTTTAATGCTCAGTGACAGAGCATCTGCCTGGCATGCAGAAGAACCAGGGTTCAATACCTGGCAACTCCAGGTCAGGCTGGAAGACATTCCTACCTGCGCTCTAGTCAGTGACCAGAATTAATCTATTCATTCATTCCTACCTGAAACCCTGGAGAGCCACTGCCAGTCAATGTAGGCAGTACAGTCATACCTCGGGATAAATATGCTTCAGGATACGTTTTTTCTGGTTGCGCTCTGCGGCAACCTGGAAGTAACAGAGTGCATTACTTCTGGGTTTTGCCACTCGTGCATACGCAGACGGTCAAAATGATGTCACACGCATGCGCGGAAGTGGCGAAACACGACCGCGCATGTGCAGTTGCTTCTTACGTTCTGTTCAGGATGCAAACGGGGCTCCAGAACAGATCCCGTTCGCATCCCGAGGTACCACTGTACTGAGTTAAAGAGACCTACTGCCTCAGTCAGGGTAAGGGTCATAGGTTTTACATACAACAAATAGGTTGTAGGCAATACTAATCCTACTCAGAGTAGCTGCCTTGACATTAATGAACATGACTTAGGGCCATTAATTGCAATGGGTGTCCTTCGGGTAGCAATTTGTTGCATACAACCCTATGTACCAAATGTTATGCTTTAAAGTGGAATGCAAATTCATGGTCTTCCAATAAGGGTAATAAGAGTTATAAATAACATTCAAAGGAAGTATTCATCCACTCCACAGCTTCATAATGTGGGCAGCACCAGAAGTTGAAAAATGAAAAAGAGAGAGGTGAGCCACAAGCTGACATCAGATGAGAAGATGTAACTCCAAAACAGTAGAAATCTAATAAGCCTAGCATGTTTTGATATGAAAGCTTCCTCAGGCAGACTACATCCTGACATCCTGTGCTTTCAAAGAAGACCCTTCCTAGACGGTTCTCTCTTTGTTCACCCTTTCCCCCCAAGTTTAGCAAAAGGAGCAGAGACTTTCCTTACAGTATTCTCATATATGAGGAAATGCTTCCAAACCCAAAGATCAGTAGAGCAATGGAAGAAGCTGCCTATGGAGATTGTTGGGTCTCTCCCGCCTTGGAAGAATTCAGTGTGAGCTCTTGTGGAATCAAAGAGCTGGGCAGAATCCAATGAACCAACCCTTAGTCCAAGAAACTAAAAGCTACATTTCAAGTCTCCCTGTTTCCCTTCCTCCTTCCTTTCCCTCCCTCCTGGTGTACAGGATTCTAAGAAAAGGAACCACAGCAGAAGTGTGGTGTGAGCAGGAATAAAATCTCTCACAGCTATATTTTAGTAGCAGTAGACTCCTTTCAACAAAAGTTCACAAAGTCCTGAACGCTTGACAAAAAAAATGCAAAATAATTCATCAGTAATAAAACTGTTTGTGGGGAGTATGCTTTGCAACTCCCTGATAAATGGCATTAGGCTGATGACCCTTCTATATTGTTTTAGATGCCTGCTGATATGTTTTGTTTTTTAAAATAAAATAAAAACCAACAAACCTGCACAGACATTTAATTTATTTGCCTACCCTACCCACGTTTTAAAGTTTACTGATTTTATCTATGTTCTAATAATAATTATTTTATGTCTATTTTAAATGTTCTGGGTTTTGGGGGGGATTTTAACTATCTGATTAAATAGTTTATAAATCTTATATAAAAAAATAAAAACCACAATACTATCAAAGTAATCAGCAGCAGCACAATACATAATCACAGGAACCACAATGCAACCATCTTGTTAAGCCTCATACGCCAAAAGGAATAGATATGTTTTCAGTAGGTAAAGAAAAAATGGATGATGGACTCAAGGGCATCCTGATCAAATTTGCAGATGACACCAAACTGGGAGGTGTGGCTAACACCCCAGAGGACAGGATCACACTTCAAAACGACCTTGACAGATTAGAGAACTGGGCCAAAACAAACAAGATGAATTTTAACAGGGAGAAATGTAAAGTATTGCACTTGGGCAAAAAAAATGAGAGGCACAAATACAAGATGGGTGACACCTGGCTTGAGAGCAGTACATGTGAAAAGGATCTAGGAGTCTTGGTTGACCACAAACTTGACATGAGCCAACAGTGTGACGCGGCAGCTAAAAAGCCAATGCAATTCTGGGCTGCATCAATAGGAGTATAGCATCTAGATCAAGGGAAGTAATAGTGCCACTGTATTCTGCTCTGGTCAGACCTCACCTGGAGTACTGTGTCCAGTTCTGGGCACCACAGTTCAAGAAGGACACTGACAAACTGGAACGTGTCCAGAGGAGGGCAACCAAAATGGTCAAAGGCCTGGAAACGATGCCTTATGAGGAACGGCTAAGGGAGCTGGGCATGTTTAGCCTGAAGAAGAGGAGGTTAAGGGGCGATATGATAGCCATGTTCAAATATATCAAAGGATGTCACATAGAGGAGGGAGAAAGGTTGTTTTCTGCTGCTCCAGAGAAGCGGACACGGAGCAATGGATCCAAACTACAAGAAAGAAGATTCCACCTAAACATTAGGAAGAACTTCCTGACAGTAAGAGCTGTTTGACAGTGGAATTTGCTGCCAAGGAGTGTGGTGGAGTCTCCTTCTTTGGAGGTCTTTAAGCAGAGGCTTGACAACCATATGTCAGGAGTGCTCTGATGGTGTTTCCTGCTTGGCAGGGGGTTGGACTCGATGGCCTTTGTGATCTCTTCCAACTCTATGATTCTATGATTCTATGATTCTATGATTCTATGAAATATTAGTGAGGAGGATGAGTGTCTTCACCCAATGGGAGGGAATTCCACAGAAGAACCCACAAGTCACCCGCCACGGCGAGGCGGAGACCCATCAAAAACCACAGGCGGGAGAAGCCTGTGGACGTGGGATTCGGCTGGCACCTTTGCGCCCCCCCTACTCACGGGGAAACCCTGTTTTGGGGATCCAGAGCGACGTGGGGTGAGTGGTGTGGTGCTTTGAATCGACTGCTTCTTTCACGGAGTGAAGCCGCATTGCTGTTGCCAGAGAGCGCTGACTTTTTCCTGTGGACAATTGGATTTTAAACAACTGCCCGTGAGTAGAACGGAAAATTGGACTATGAAATTTCTTAATTAGGCACCGAAAGCAGGAAGGTCTAAACAGGAAGTCCGCCTTCCGCTTTTGTAGAGAGATTGAAGCAAAGACACGGCAAGCTAGAGTTTAGAAAGTCATCTGTAAAGGATTAAATTTTCATCATTTAAAATTACTGAACCCCCCTTGGAAGCAGGAGAAGAGGGGGGAACCTTTTTTAGACTGTTTAAACCTGCAGAAAAGAGAGTAAAGAAAGGTAATTTTTCACCGTCTTGAACCTGGGAGCGGGGTGTCAGGACAGACGTTTTGGGGAAGTTCATTGACTATGGACAAACGTTTTTGACAGATAGTTAAAAGAAGAGAAACATATTGATTCCATTGTTCCCTTTCGCATTTAAAAGGAACAAAATATCGACAAAATATCCAAAAAATGAAAACTTTGTTGCTAGATCTGCTTTAAAAAAAAAAAAAAAGATGGATACAAATAGAAATTGTTTCCCCTAGAGGGAGCTTGTGAAACTGTTATTAAAGTCGAACTGGGGAGCGTTGCAGCTGTAAAGATTAAAGATCGTGGGACCAGACTTCGACCTTGAACAAGAATGTGCTCAGAGGGTCTGGTGCTTGCCTTTTGCAAGACAAGTGCTTTATTGGAACAGTTACACGAGAAGATGGATTTGATGACTGTTGCGATCGGAAATTTTGGACAGGCAGTGGGTACCTATATAGAACCCACTCAGGAATTAATCCAGGAATGTGCTTTGACAGACCAGATGAGGGAGGAGGTTGTTGCTGGACCTCGGGTGGCAGAGATGGAGGGAGCTGTGGCCCAGCAGGAACATGAGTTGTTGGATTTGACGAACGAACCTGGAAAAAGTCAGATTTGGAGAGATGGAGTTCTGTTTGGCTTGGAGATGGGGGGCTGGATAGACCCTCCTATGCAGGGATGTTTTGACCTTTCAAGTCTGACTTTGGGCCGGGGGGAGTTCGGAGTTGTGGGGGCCCTTAACTTTGGAGGGACCTTGAAACATGCCTTTAAATACCACATGGATTTCAGTGTTGACTATGGAAAAGGGGCTGACTTGTCGAGAAGGGACAAAAATATTGTCAAGCTGGAGTCTCCCCAAGTAAAAGGAGCAGAAGACAAAGCAAAGTACAGGTATAAACATGAAGAAGACCTGCGAAAGGGACATGGAAAAGACTTAAGAGCCTCGGATATAAGGTCACCAGGTTGATGGACTAGATGGATGGGATAGAAAGGACTGACAAAACCCGAGACCAGGAAGAAGAGACGATGGATGAAGATTGGAAGAAAGTTTTACAAATTTATTTAGAAAAGTATCGTAAAATTAATGAGTATTAGAAAAATGTTGGAATGAAATTATTTGGCTTTAGCAGAAATGTTAAAAAGAATTATGTAAGAATATGTTATGGTTAAAAGAATTTGGTATAAATAAGATTTAAGTTTTAAGTTTTAGGTTTTTTATGGTAAGATAAGGTTAAAATAGATTAAGGTAATTTAATGACAGAATATTGTGAAAGATGGAAAGGATTTGCTGAGATAATTAACAACTAGAATACAAAAAAAGGGAGGTGTGAGGAGGTCGATGAAATAAGTTAATGAAAGTTAAGGATTTGGGAATATTGGATTTGTTTTTAATTTTGTGGTTTATTTTTGTTTTTTATTTTGATGCATTGTGTGTTTTGTTTTTGTTTTTGACTTTGTTTTTTATTGATTTGTATTGTTTAATTGTTACTTTTATCTACTTTTTTCTTTCTTTTTCTCTTTCTCTTGTTTTTTCCTTCTTTTTTCTTTGTAACTTTAAAATTCTCAATAAATATCTTTAAAAACAAACAAACCACAAATCACTGCTGCACATGCCATAGTGAAGAATGGCACTCTCAGTAGATCTGCATCTGTCAATCTTAAAGTACATATGGAGAGAGTTTCTTCTTCAAGAACTCAGGCCCCAAACTGCATATGGCTTTATACACCAAAGGGAGCACCTTAATTGGACCCTGTAACTAACTGTCAGCCAAT